TGCTGAGTCTCATAAGGCCACTTTGACACATCTCCACTCCTTCACAGATATTTCTCCTCTTCATTCCACAAAAATTTGCAAAAATGATCAAAATCACCCACATAATGAGCCAAAACACATTGAAGAACGTGGAAATTGGCCCATTGAGCCTCCCGGGTATGACAAAATCTAATTTCATGCTGAGTCTCATAAGGCCACTTTGACACATCTCCACTCCTTCACATATATTTCTCCTCTTCACTCCACAAAAAAAGGCTTCCGCTCCCACTCCACCCTCAAAGTCTTCCAAAATGTCCCTCAATTCATTGCTAATATAGCTAAATTCAGTACATTGAGTCTTCTCAATATTCTGAACAATATCCCCCAATGTATCATGCCCATCTCTACACTCCTTCACACTCTTATTTTCTTCTATGTATTCAAAATAGTGCTTTCCGCTCCAGCTCTACCCTCAAATTCCTTTGAAATTAACCTAAACCCAGTGATGCCCTATCAGCTTTTGGGATTTGAGTCCTTTTGCATTTTTTAAGGTGAGTCCCTCTATTCACTTTCATCAGTAAACCACCCCTTCAATTCCAATTGGTGACCCAAAGCACCCTTTTGATGATGTTTGTGTACACAAACCTGAGTTTATGACTGAATACACACTACACACCTTTAACTCATAAAAACCTGAGCTGCAAGAACGGACAAGAGCTGTGGTCTTGGCTCATAGTCATAGTGGACAAATTACTTCAATCAGTGTTCACTTCACCAAACATAGTTGGATTGTTGACTTCTTGATTCCAGTATTCTAATAAATGAAGCTGGTAGATTTTCCAGGGTGCATCCCTTTATAATCAATGACCCCAATTGGGCTTAGATTCAAAAAAACCATTTGAATTTGATGAATCAAATTAGACTAGTTGCAAATGGACAGGTTCCAGGAACGGACAAATCCGTTGGGGCCCCTGCCCACCAATTGTGCTGTTAGGCCTTGCGGAGTCTGAGATTGTACTGCATCTTCACAAATGCTTGTCCAATCGAAGCAAAAAAAGTTGCTGCCGGTCGGACCCATTTGTGAGCTGGATCGTTAATGAGGGTCTGTGCACGATCGGGGCTTCAGCTTTTGTAGCTCTGAGCTCTGAGATTTAATTTTGCTGTTACTTGAGCGAAGATCCAGAGAGCTTCTGCCCAGATCACAGCTCAGTTTTGATTGTGCTTTCAGTCAAATCCATCAGCCACCATTTGATTCAGCAACCACATCAATGTTTGTCAAGTACCCCCCTCGAATCAAGGCTCTTGCAGTTATCAAAATCCTCGAAGGCAAAGCCACTGACGAGATTTGCGATGAGCTCCATGCCGACATCAGTAAACGTTCTTTCAAACGTTGGATGAATCTGTATCAAGAAACTCGGCAAGTCATCCGAGATCCTGAAGGATACCAAACTCGAGGACGGAAAACTTTGCTTGACGACGAGGACCGCGACTTTCTGAATGAGCTGGTAGCTGCATCACCTGACCTCTTTTTAGACAAGATCCGGGAAAAGCTCTACGACGATACCGGAGCACTCCCTAGTGTCGAGTGTCTGGCTAACGAACTCAATCATCGCTTACACCTTACCTCAAAGAAAGCCAACACATCTCATGTCAACAAAGATTTTCAAAGAAAAGCTCAGTATATTGAAAGGATGCGAGATATACCAGCTGAGATGCTTGTGTTTACTGGTATGTTTTCCACTTCTACTTGAAGGAATCACCATACTGAATCAATTATCTTGCATCAGATGAAAGCTCGATATGTGAAAGGGACTTGCTACGTGTAAATGGTCGTTCAAAATCTGGGGAACGAGTCTATCGATGGGTCCGAAGAAACAATCCTCGCCGCTACTCTCTACTTCCTGCGATTGGATTGAATGGTCTTCTGGCATTGACAGTCCGAGAGGGCAGTATCAATCGCGAGCGATTTGAATCCTTCTTGGAGTTCCAACTGGTACGTGATTGATAGATATCCTGAATCATTTTTACATCCTCACTTTTTTCCTTCCATGTTCAATAGCTGCCACAAATGCAACCCTATCCAAATCCCAACAGCGTACTGGTGATGGATAACTGCTCAATTCATCACAATGGACGAGTAGCTGAGCTCTGTGAGGCAGCAGGTGAGGTTGTGGTTGTTTACTCTTATTCAGTGGTCATTCACGAGCTGAAATGGTGTCTGGTGAAGGTGTATTACTGGTATATCTACCACCGTATTGTCCAGAGCTCAATCCCATCGAGTACTGTTTCTCTGTGATCAAATCACGCTTCAAGAGAACTCGCATCCTCGAGAATGCAAATGAAGATGCGAATTGGCCAATCAGAGAGACAGCAATTGATGCAATCACTCCTGAACTACTTGCCCCTCTGTATGCAAATAGTGGGTATCTATTGCCTCCAGGAATGATGGTCATGGATCTCATGGATCTCATTTAGAAGTTTCTTCATTTTGAATATTGAGTTTTTCATATGATGTTCATCGATCGATCCCAAGTTTTTTCATTTTGAATTTTTATATGATGTTCATCGATCGATCCCAGTTTCTTTCATTTTGAATATTGAGTTTCTTATGCGATCTTCATCAATCAATCCCATCTCAATCTTTATCAATCGATGGATTCCTTTTCAATGTTGTTTTCAATTGATTTCATTTCATTGTGAAATCTCAAGTCCCGCTTTTTTATTGACTGATTGGATTTTGTTGAGATCTCAAGTTTCTCACTATTTCATTTTGATTAATTCAACTTCGATCCAGTCAAATATTGATCAAAATGATGCTACACTTGCATTAAGATCTTGATTGATCATCAGTACATAAAGAATGATAGAATAAAGAAAAAAAGTAGAAGAAAACAATACACTGTGTTTAAGAAGATTGATTGACCATCAGTACATAAAGAAGAGAAGACAAAAACAATACAATATGATAGAATAAAGAAAATAGAGAAAAATAAGACACTGTGTTGAAGAAGATCTTTGTTTGAGATAGAAAACAATACATGAGATTTGATACAAAGTAACAAAAGGAACCCGTTTGATTCAAATGAAGTCTTGAAGCGTCCTAAAATCCAAACAACCGAATAAAAGTTTCAAAAGATGATTAGCGAGTCTCCTCAAAATGAATCTATGACATTGAGATTACCTTTTTAATCCTGGTCAGCAAGATGCTCGTCAAACCTATCAACATTGTCGAGTAAGTCACTGATTATGCCAGCTGGAATACCATACCCTAACAGATCGCTTTTGGTGATTGAACCGTCGGTTTTGTGAAAGTTATGATAGTCTCGAATCCTATGGGGTTTGAAAAGGTCGAGGATTTCATTGACTTCAACTGGATCGTTAATTCCGACAAATTTGATGTAGTCTTCCATCGAAGCAGAACCTCTAGGTGGTCTCTGAATGACACTATGGGAAGGACCCGCCACACCTTGATTATAAGACGTTCGGATACGTTTTTTCTTGAGCGTGCCTTTCTTACTCTCTCGCAGGCCTCTCGGTGGACTGATCTGTGAAACACCGTGAGTTGTAGGGTTCAACTGAGAAGTTTAAGATTAAGATCAGTCATAAAAACCGTGTTATAACGATGATTGGTACGTACAATCTCTTTAGCCCATTTCTGAGCATTCCCCGGTGACATTAGCACATATCCATCATCATCGCCAGGAATCTCATATACACGGAAAAAATGATCCAAATCATGTCGTACAACACTTTGAGCTTGAAGATCCTTGGCTAAAAGATCAATTTCATGACTGTCTGAATCGGCCATATTCTGGATGTATAAAGAAAAGAATCAGATTGTATAAATTGTAGGAAAGTCGACTGGCCACCCACCCCGACATTATTTTGATCTCCAACAGACCATAAGCGGCGAGTTGAGGCTAACGAAGCATTCTTACAAGAGAGAAAGCAATCAGCTTGGAGCAGAAAAAGACCAAAAGGAAACTACTCACTCGCTTTTGAGAATCGACTTTCAACACAGGCTTATCCATCAGTAAATAAAGGCCACCTGTTTGAGATGATACCTTCAATACCTCATGTGCCCAGGCTTGAAACTGTTCCTCACAATGGACCTGATTTCCTCGGGTTTTTGACCAACCTCTTGTACCTGAGATTGTTGCAATCCATTTGATGCGCTTCTCATCTGAATTAAAGTCGGTCATAATCAGGTCCCCTAATTCATTGTCATTGCTATTACATTTCCGCTTGACAGTTGCTTGTAGATCGGGAAATGACATTTGATTCGGATTAATTTCTAACAAAATGTTACCCCTTTTGAGGATGTAGGGCCTCCATTTTGGATTCTTGCTGTCGCCATATTTGGTGTAGATGCTGATCTCAAAATCACACTCAAACAATTCACGCATGATTCCTGAGTTGAAGTGTTGCTGACGTGGCTGATTGGGAGTGTGATAGGTGGTTGATGGGATTGATGATGGGGGGATCGGGTAGCTGGGCAGAAGCTCTCTGGATCTTCGCTCAAGTAACATCAAAATTAAATCTCAGAGCTCAGAGCTACAAAAGCTGAAGCCCCGATCGTGCACAGACCCTCATTAACGATCCAGCTCACAAATGGGTCCGACCGGCAGCAACTTTTTTTGCTTTGATTGGACAAGCATTTGTGAAGATGCAGTACTTACAATTGTTAAGAATCTGAAGCATTAGACTTTAATCTTTACACAAATCATTATACGATGCCTCAGAAGGGCCGTTCGATCCCATGCCCACTGGGCCCCTCCAAGAAGACACGCACAGCAAGGCCACCCAAAGGATCGGCTCAAATTGTAGCTGAGGTGACAGCGAGCGGATCACAATGGGTTCGAAATCGCACCCAAGAAATCGAACGTGCCCTCGCTGAGACTCCTGCTGCGAAGATGCAAGTTCACCAACCTGAAAACAACATCGAGATCATTGCAAGCTCGGATGACAACAATTCAGCTGATGATCCACCTGAGCAAATGGGCAACCATTTCGACCACTCATTGCCGACCGCTGATGCCCTACCTCCGAACGTAGATGTTACACTTGGAGACTACATACGCGGGTCCTACTATAAGAAGAAACAATTAGCAGAAGCCAAGAACTGGGAGAAGATGCTCAATCCGATGTTCTTGGCATATATGTCATTGGCACGGAAGGGATCACAGTGGGGCGACCCTCGATTATGGAATGTTGACCATAACATTCCATGTTCATGCGGTGTAGCAGCCACACGGACTCGACCGGTCGATATGGTGGACATACTTGGTAGGTCACGAGCCATCATATTCCCCTGAAGAAAGACTACTGATCTTTTGGGTTCGAAGAACGAAAGCAAGAGCAGTTATACTTTTGCAATTGTACACCTGATCAGGTGCGTTTAATTCGAATGGGATACATCGGTGGTTCGCCAGTGTACCCTCAGACAGCGTATTCGATTCGCCTTCTTCGTCTACATCATGTGTTGTGGAAGTACTGCACTGTGCGTACTCAAGGCTTTGTCCTCGCTCTGGACGAGTTCCTTGATGCTTGTAATCAGCTGATTTTAGCTCCTGGTTCCAGTAATGTGAGTGATTGCTTTCATCACTCACAGATCTTCACATGCTGATCCCTGGTGAATAAATTAGCCACGACGGTGGCGTCGAACGTTTTCACTGGCGATCGATGCTTATAGGCATATGCTGAGATTTGAAGAGGACCTTTCAATCAAATCTTTGCAATTAAATCCACTTGAGCAGCTGGCAAAGAATTGCCCGAGATGTTTTGGGCCGCTTCACGAATATGATAATGAAGAAGTGGATGAGCCACATTACATAGTGTGTGTTGACGGCAATTTTCAGCATCGCCGACACAAAGCTGCTAGCCAGGAATACGAAGAGAAGAAGCTCGTCCTACCTTCCCTTTTCATCAACCCAGAAAGAGTAGCCGAATGGGAGCCTGGAGGTGTCAAAAAAAACGGTGATGCAGTAAAATCAGTATGTAATTTATATTTTTTCACCAGAAGTTTCCAATTGATTGAATATTTATTATTGAATATGTAATATTAGGACCCCTGCAGTGCTCAGCACACCGCTGCAGCCGATCATCGAGGGGGTGCTACGTGGAAAGGGTGTGATGAGACAGGGCTTATTGGAATGGCCTGTCGACACGATCATATCCTATGTTACGTGAATGTTGTTCAAACAGGAGAAAGGTAAGCTTAAGACATTTTTATTCCATTCTCACGATTCTGATGATTCCCGATTTGTCCAGACAGTGTTATGTCCTGGCCATGATTGATCAACTTTTTGAACAAATCTACGAAGCTGATCAGCCAAAAAAACGTGTAGGAGTGTTGTATGACATAGGCTGCACATTGGAGAAAAGCATAATGAAGGTGTGTGCTTGCTGACTTATTGTTTTGCATACCGTGCTGAAAATGGATCTTTAGAACAAACTATTCCAGGACGAATGTCAAAGGCGTGGACTGAAATTGGGCACAAGCGCATTCCATGCATATGTGCACCAATGGTCGTGCCAGCTTCAATACAATCCAAGGCTGAACATAGGTTGGGGGCTTTCGGATGGCGAAGGGTTGGAAAGAAACTGGAGCGATCTTTCCCCTTTAGTTAGTCCAAACCGCTACGCAACAAAACAGCATTGTGCCGATGGAATCAATCTGAAAACAACTCATCGAAATGAAATCTTGGCCATCAACGCAGGTAAGGATTTTTCCGAAGAAGTTCCAGTGAGGATCTTGAGATTGACAAACTTCGAGAGGTTTGTCAAGCAGCTCGATCCAGTTCGGCCAAACTACGAACGGCTTAGAAGACGCTTGAGGAAGCCAACAACGTTCTACAGAGACTGCACGCTGAGAACCCGGAGTACACAGTTGACTACTTTGCAGCTCAATGGGAGCGGCAAAGAGAATGCCAATTGGCTGCGATGGCAGATGGAGCGAAGAAAGATTTAGAGGAGCTTTTGGTAAACTTACTCGACTTGGAAGAAAAATTGAGAGATGCACTGTGAGATTTGTTGATTTTGTTACAATGAATAAACTATGCTGAAATGACGATGTAGTTCCCAGCTTTCCAACCTACGCAAAAAACGAAGGCGCAATCAGACAGAAGCTGAAAAGGAAGCAACAATCACATTGCCAAATTCGATTGTGGCTTTGGAGCAAGCGATAGGAGACGTGGTCAAGCAGCTGGGAAACAAGGAGTTCCGAAATCTTAAAAAATCAACTAGTGAGTATTTTTTTGAGGTGTGTGCTTGTATTGAGATTGAATGTGGACTCTGATGTAGCAATATCATCATTGTAGGCCCAAAAGCCCGTGCTCTCATTCGTGTTAGACTTGCAAAGATGAGGTTGTACGAAGCCAAAGTTGGAATTGTAGTAGCACAGAAACGTTGGGACAAAGGCGGTCAGGGTGAGTCAAGTTCCGATGTCAATAGTATGTTTCATTAGCTGATATTATAAGTTTTATGTAGGTACAAAGGTTCAGCAAAACCTGAAAGATCTCATGAAAAAAAAACAATTGGCGTTCAAAAAGAAGTGGGAATCATATAAATTACAAATCAATAAGTATAACAATATAACACCGGTGAGCAATCTACAATGTCCAACATTAGAAATCACAAAGGGGCTACCGTTTGAGGACGTATTCTGGAACGTAGGCCCTCTTTCACATCCATTTGAGAGGTGGGCAGTAGACCAAGGGACTGTTGAAGGTATACAAGCGTACTTGAAGCATCGGAGCGCCTCTGAGGAGCTCCGTCGAATTGGGCGTGAAATCCGTCAAATGGTTTTAGCAGCTGTAAAAACCGAGGAGAAGCTACATGGTGTGGGTGTGAAATGTAGAAGTGGTAAGTAATCTAACCTTCTATACCGGGTAAAGCAATTGAATTGATCTAATACATACAAATCTAGAGTGGAATATTGATAACGGCGGGAAAGAACTGATTGAGATGGTTCAATCTGGCCAACGAATTTCAAAAGACACATGGAAGGTCAGCATTGAGGTGTTGAAGACAGTATATGATAACATGCGACAAGCTTACTGTCGCAGGTGGATGGCCTGGAACTCTGAGATTGTCTGTTTACTTCGCACAACGCTTTGGTACACCAACTCGTCGGAGGAGGAAAATATGGGCTTGATCAGGTGCTGGGAAGGTCTTGCGTCAAGAGCAAAGGACGTGTGGGAACAGATTGTAAACGTAAGAAGTGTTGAATCCTCGGGGCTTGATGAACTGGATATCGTTGAGCAGAACCTAATGATAACAATAGGAGAGGATGGACAAGATGATGTGGATGAGCTCTTGATGCTGGGAGATATACATTTGTTAGATGACGATGATAGTGGAGATGAAGAGAGCGATGATGTTGTGATGAATTCATGAATAACCAGATACATTACATTACCTTGATTGAGAATTGTTGTAATTGTGTAAAGTAGTCGCAACTCTTCTTATTGATTTGCAATGAGCCTCTTGATCGCTTTGATTGTGAGTTTCTCAAAAGACAACTTGCTAAAGTTTGTACGGTGCCAGTGTTGTTTGTTGGTTTCTTTTGTTGAGAGCTTCGACTTGAGGGTCAGAAGAACGAAGAATTGTGACCTGGTATTAGTAACGTTCAATGATCGGATTCAATGATGTCAATGTTGTGAGGAGGTGAAGATGTATTGGACTTCGATATTATTGACTGTTGTTGATTACATATCAATTGAGTAGGGCGAAGTATGTAAAGAGTTTTGATGCGAGGAGGAGTGAGTGACTGGGTAAAAAAAAAGCAAAAGGTGCCAGACTCGTCTGGGAGTACAATGATGGATGAGACTGGTGCCAGCCGCGTCTATGACTTGTAGACGGGTCTATGGCCTACAGACGCGTCTGGGAGTAGGGGACTTGCGGTGATAGAGATCCTCCAGACGGGTCTAGACTGTCGAGGCGTCTCCTAGGGAGAGCTCGGTGTCACTCCGATGAGATTGACACAATTTTCATCGGTAAGTGTCCGACGGGTCTAGTATGCACAGGTGGTAACAAGACATGTCACAAGCCAGCTCTCACTCAGAGAGAGAGGAATACTCTGGGTGTTCCATCTCTCTCACGACCTGTACTTTCTCTAGTTACAACTCATAGTCTTCAAGATTCTGAACATCAAGAATCACCTATTTAGGCTCGACATTTAGACTTTTCAAAAATCAATAACGAAATCATGTCGTTCCAAAATCAACTAGAACAAACAAACAGAGTTTTAACTAGAGCTGAGGCAGCTGCAACTGGAGTACAACCTGGAGCAAGACTCATAACGCCGAAGAGGACGAACGGCAGGCTAGAGAGGAGAAGCAACTTGTAGAATAGGACTCCAACGGGCAGCCGAATGCCAGGAATCAAAAAGAAAGGACAACGGCCAAGAGGTTTAAAGACAACTCAACTGAGCTTACGGAGACAGAAAAAGAAACAACTAGCGGAAGAAAGGGAGAAGGAAGGAGGAGAAATTCAAGGAGACGAGGAAGAGACGGAGGAATGGGGTGGAATAGGAAGTGAGGAAGGAGGAAAAGAAAGAGAGGGTGAAATGAGTGAAGAAGACACCAGCCAACGTGGTAAGCAACCTTTCATGTACAGATAAATCATTTCACTACACCCACTATTCAGTTTCACTCGCCCCGTTTCCGTCATGTCAAATCCCGCCATTCCCAAAATCAGAACGTACAAAGTACTTTCTCTCCTTCTTTGAAAGGCCCTTTCATAATATACTTAACATGAAGGGGGATATAAAGATAATGATTACAAGCATAAGTCAGCCAAGATATCCAAGGCATGAGAAGACTAGCGAAAGACGTACACAATTACACCTTTTTGTTTTTATGTTTCTATACCTTATGCCGTAGATTTCGATAGGCCAACCATCAAGAAAGCCTGGCCCGGCTCCAAATAGGTGCCCAGCCTGACCCGGCTTACAGTAGGAGTCCAGCCTGGTCCGGCTTATAATAGGAACCCAGCCAGGTCCGGCTTA